CTCTCTCTCTCTCTCTCTCTCTCTCTCTCTCTCTCTCTCTCTCTCTCAGCAGCAAATCTAGGCCCCTCAAGTCGGCCTGTTTTCCTTCCAGCCTGAAGGGAACGTTAAAGAGGTGAAGAAAGAGCTAGAAGCAGAGGATGAAGCGCCTGTCGACCTGAAACGCTTTGTTTCTGGAGCTTCAGCTTTTTTCCAATGTGGAACTGAAGGTTTTGCTGCATGCATCGTAGTAAAATGCAGGCATCTCACTACATGACCACCAAGGCCTGAAATCTCTGTGCTGTTCAAGATGTACATACTCAAGAATTCCACCCCTAGAATTGCTCTTAAACAAATATCCAAGAAAGGCAAAAAATATATTCTGGAAGATCTGTATCATATCACAGTCAACAATGGAAGTGATCTAAATTTCCAGCAGTAGCTTAGTAAATAACGGTCTTATAAACGTGATGGAATTCATTATGTACAACCGTTAAAATGGTAATTATCCTGGCTACAAATTAACATTGAATACTGAGTAGTTTCTGCTGTTGGTTGAGAGTTTGCTGTATCAGTTGTTTTCAACCCTGAGGGCATGTTGGAATCTCCTGGGGCCTAGGCCTCATTCCCAGAGAGCAAGCTTCAGCTGTTCCTGTGTAGGGTCTGGGCCTGGGTGTCTCTTTTGAAGCTCCCTGGTTGACACTACTGTGCAGCTCAGGCTGAGGGCCTCAATGCCACTTCCAGGAACTTTGGTTGTGTAAAAGCCACCAGAGAGTCGTATCTTTATGAGTCTCCTGGGCACGATTACATCAAATACAGTGGTTCTGGTGTCCCTCCCTTCTCCCCAGGCCACCTCGCCCCACGTTTGGGCAGTGCAGGATACTGTTGCTTATCTCTGATTTATTACAAAAATGTTTTTGAGAGTACTCTGGTGTTGTTCCATAACCATCCTAAAACTTAATGGAGTCAACAATAGCGAAGTTACTGCACAGATGCTGTAGGTCAGGAATTCGAACACAGCATAAGAATGGCTTTCTTCTTTTCTACAACGTCTGCTGTTTCAGGTGGGAAGACAGATCTGACAGTCTTCAGCGGGATGCTGGAATCATCTGAAGGTTTATTTATGTACATGTCTGCTGCCTTGGCTAGAATGACTTGAAAGACAAGCTCAGCTAAGACTGCCCGCCAGCGTGCCCATACACAGCCTCTGTCTACGTGGCTTGGGCTTCCTTACACCATGGAGCCTCTTGGTTCTAGGAGCAAACATACTGACTAGTAAACAACGCAGAGAGCTTTTTGACCTATCTTGGAAGTCAGTCGCCCTCCTTCCATTGTACCCGATTACTGAAGTAGTCATACGCCCACACAGATTTCAGAAATATTTTTGGAGATAGAGTTGACAAGATTTAGTAATGGACTAAATGTGGAGTGGAGGAGAGGACTGTCAAATACCAATGCTACAATGTCATAAGATACGGGAAAATTCCGGACTGCGTGTGTGTAATCATCACAGTGCCTGCAGATGGGAGCTGAATGTAGCGTGCCATAAAGAAAAGCTGGAAGGTGGGGGCAGCAGGTCTTTCGTGTGACTCGGTCATTTTGGTGACTCTTCATACCCCTGTAACTACCCACCAAACCTGTGTACTTGACAGTCTTTGAAGAACGTTGGTTGTCACTGGGCCCCAGCTGACTCATGAAGTGAGTCTGCTTTCCAAATACCACATTCAGAAATCACCCTTGTCACTTGACTTTGTAGTTGGGAGAACCACTGTGCTGTGAGCCTGTAGGCTGTTCACCCTGTCAACCTATGGAACTCACCAGGCCTCCAGCATCACGGGGAAAGATGGGGAATGGCCTGAGCCCACCTATTTTCGGGTCTAATCTCTCTTCTGTCCTTTCTCCTTAGGCTTTTGATATTATGAGAGTGACTCATGGCAGAGAACACAGCCTGATTGAAGATTTGATTCTGCTCTTAGAAGAATGTGACGCCAACATCAGAGCATCCTAAGGGAACCCGTCAGAGGGAAAGATGGCTTGTGTCTTTGTTGAATGCCTTATTGAGGTCGCACACTTTGTATTTTGTTTGCTGTGTGAACCTCTTCTATTGAAAATTCTCTTCTGTGTTTGTGTAGGTAAATAAAGGCAGACATGATTTGCAAACCGCAAGAATCATTAGTTGTAGAGAAGCATGACTATAATAAATTCAAAAAATTTGGTTGAAGATGCCGTATGGTAATTGTCTTATTTGCTTACTGGCAACTTTAATGTTTAAAATACCAACATTCAAGATAGAAAATCCTACTAAATGCATGAAAAAATAAGTAATAACTTTCTCTTCGGATGTATTAGATAAAAATTGCTATTTTCACATTTGCTTCCAAGCAAAAACTTAATGTCCATTTTGGCAAAAAGCAGAATTTTGAGATGTCATCTTTTGCTCTTTGTGATAAATGATGTTTGTGTGTGTTATTACTTCCAAATACATCTCCAACACAAGAAGTTTTATCCTAAATCCTAGGAAGAAGCCATTTTAGGTATTACTAGGAAAGGATAGGAAGTTTTAATGCCAAAACCAGCTTTTCAGCTATCTCACAGCTCTTTGTGTAAATCTTTCGCATCAGCATTTTATAACTCTTTGTGTATGTCGTTTTTTTCCCTGAAATTTGTTTCTGTAATTAGCCAAATCTGTGGTTCAGCGTGTGAGCGTGGTGTGCATAGTGTAAAGCTCCGTTGTCTTGCAGTAAGCAAGGTTCTTGCACCCCAGCTCAAATCAGCCTTGCCTGCTTGCTTTTTCCTCTTTATTATTTCCTAATTCTTTGGCCTTTTTTGTCCTGCCTTTCTGCTTTAGACACAGAAAACCTTTTCTTTTCCACTTCTCAAAACGTGAATTCTTTTATGGCTCAGTGATCCTTTGAGCAGTGTGGTCCCTCATGCTTAGATGAGACTCTGGTAGTAACGGAAGCCCTTGGATTCCTGGAGCTGAAAGGATGCCTAGTAGAGAGTGTGCCATCACCCACACTTTATTCATGGGCGAGGAGATGGGTGGGAGCAGAATCGAGAGCAGCAGGAGCCCTCCCCGTCTTTCACGGAGGGAGTCGCGAGTCCTCTGACCAGGCACTGTTAGAATGGCACATGGATGTCTGATTGAGCCCGAAAGAACCAACCTTACGTTTGCAGTGAAGAAAGCTAATGACTTGCAACCGGAGTCCTGCTAGGCTGCACACCTGGTGACCACGTTGATGTAAAAAAAAAAAAAAAAAACTGTCCTGCATGCTGATGAGTTCTAAAGCCTTTTGTCATCCTTGCTTCAAGGACATCTCTAAAGCACACAGTGTCTTTAACAACCACAATAGCATGCCAAGGTAGGTATTTCAAAGCCTGTTTTATAAAACTGGAATTGGACTCCTGGGTGCTCTGGAATCCCTCCTGATTTACCGAGTAGCTTTTCAAGGAGCCGTTTCTATGCAGTTCAACAAGTACATATTGAATGGTTACTGTGTTTTTAGGGAAAGGCGATACAAAGACTGAATAAGACACACCCCCGTCTTCAAAACGGACACTGTCTGGTCTGGTATTTGTATCTGTTAGCTTTTACTGCGTAACAAACTACGCCAAAACTTGGTGGCTCAAAGTAACCTTTTTTTAAGGTTATTTTAGGTCTGTAGTTCAGCAGTTTGAGATGTGCAGTTCTGGTTTGGTCTAGGTGTGCTAGTCTCCGTGGGCTCGCTCGCTGTATGTAGTTGCTGGTAGGAAGGTCAGCTGCGGAGTGGTGGTGAGTGAGCCAAGCGGCCCGTCAGTCAGCCCAGTCTTGTTCACATGGCAGCAGTTCTGGGAACTGTAGGTAGGCGAGTCCCAGTGTGCCCAGTGTACAAGTACCTTTTCAACTCTGCTAGTATCCCGTGGACCACAGCCAATCTCAAGGCCACCCCAGAATCAAGGGGTGGGTCCCGGGTCCTCATCAGGACAGGCTACAGAGCACCATTGCAAGAGCGTGGGTACCTGGAAGGGAAGAAGCTGCAGCCATCTATGCAGTCCGTCGTAGTTACCCTTGGTTTTCTCGGTGTTATAGAACATTTAGTGAATTTTATGAATCTGCAGACCTTCTTTCTAGAAAAATATACAAAGTTTTCCCTTGGTATCCATGGGGGATTGACTCCAGGACCTCCTGGGTACCAAAATTGACGGTGCTCAAGTCCCTGATAGAAAACGGCATTGTATTTGCATATAACCCATGTGCATCCTCCCGTGTTCTTTAAATCATCTCTGGATTGCTTGTAATACCTAAAAAAATGTAAATGCCATGTGAATAGTTGCTATACTGTATTTAAGGAATAATGAAAAACTTTGTACGTGTTTAGTACAGTTTTTTCTTAATATTTTTGATCCGATACTAGTTGAGTCCACAGATATGGAACCTGCAGATACAGAGGACCAGCCGCATATATGAACAATTTGCCTTTAGGATCAAAGAGTCTCAGACTTCCTGTGGCCTCTGTGGATTCCCTGGGCCCTTCGTGAAATGGGAAATACACTCGCTACCTTTCAAAAACGCTGGTGGGAATTGTATTGGTTCCTCATTTTAAATGCATTCGGTAAAAAGTCATGACAAAAGGTAAGGATAGTAACTTACATGTCAGATGAGCAGAGTTCACTGAAAGAACCTTGTGTTTGCCAAATTTTCTGAACGAAATTTATCAGTCAGTGATGATCCTGGATTAAGAGATTTGCCTTCACACCTCCTAGAGAAAGCATGATAGGCTTTTAAATCCCTCTCAGCCCGCTTCCAGTTTTCTAAGAGCAGGGGGCCCTGCCTGCACCAACTTTTAATGGAAAGCAAACATTTAAGCAAGGTAAACATTTACCAAACAACTTTATAGCAAAATAATTTTGGAGAAGTGGGAAAGGGATGGAGAACATAATTTAAAATTCGTGTCACCAGTGGCTGACGATTTATTGCCACCCCAGCCGCCAGGACTGCGATTTCATTAATCCATAGTCATTGTAGCGGCAGGCTTTTTTCACATCAGTAACTTGATGCCATTAGTTGCTCCTCAGGGATGAGAACACATTTAAACTGAAATGAACACGCTGGGCATAATTTATAGCCATGCCACATGAATGCCAAGAGTGCAGGGGAGGACGGCTGCCTAGGCAGCCTGCTCAGAATGGATGCTGAGGACATGCTTGCTCTAGGAGGCAAGAGCCTGATGAAGCCGGATGGCCGCAAACCACGGAGGCCCTCAGCCAGCCTTCGCTGCAGGGTTGAAAGAGGAATTCCATACATGGGGGCCCACCCCGAGTTAGGTCTTGAAAATGCTTTTCTGGCCCAATTGGGAATTGATGTTCACTTAAGAGTAGCCCCCAGGGATCCCGCAGGTAGACGATTCTGGAATCGTCTGTGGAGCATCAGGTAATCCCCATGACAGGCAGTCACTGGCAGAAGCATCAGGAAGCTACTGGAGCCCTCTCTGTCCCTGAGGTATGTAAGGAACTGGTTGAGGAGAAGGACCAGAAACACCCCCCGCAAATTGGGATACTCCCTTAACTTTTGGAGGTTTGTAAGCATCTGAAAGCTGTTGGCTCAAAGTCAACATATTCAAAATCGATTTGAAACGTGAAAAACCAGCTCTCTACCTTTCCTGTTCAGCTCAGTGTTATCATGGGCCTTCCCTTCTTCATCCCAGAAACTCATTAATTCTCTCTTCTCCTTTATTGAGGAAGACAGTTCTATCTGTTCATCTCCTGAAGCGCTTTTCTGAATTTCAGCCTTGTTCCCCAGCCCCTTAGTGGGCCCCAGCACCACACTGCTCAGTCACTGCAAAGACCTCCCTACTGATCTCATTTCTTTTAGTAAGGAATGATATTTGGAAACCCTCACCTGCTTCCTCCTAACCTGGGCCTGTTTAAGATCACGAATCCACATTGATACCATCCATTTGTAAAGTCCTTTGAACTGACTGCACCATGAACTACACCGCAGCCTAGACTACACCATGGCCTGGACTACGCCACGGGCAGACTACACCACGGCCTGGGCTACACCACAGCCTGACTACACCACGGCCTGACTACACCACGGCCTGACTACACCACAGCCTGACTACACCACGACCTGACTACACCACGGCCTGACTACACCACGGCCTGACTACACCACG